TATCAGTCTAAAACGATATATTTAAAAAAAGCTTATAGAGACAAAAGAGTTGCATTATTGATAACATATAGTGCATAATAGAATATAAATAGGAAAAAGGTGACTCGACCCCAGATTTAAAAAGAAAACAAATGGAAAGGAGGGGTCCATACCCCAAGTGCCTATGTAACCAATACCAATTTGTGTAAAGGGCATTAAACAAGTTTAAGAAATGTCTCCTGATGTTCGGAGAGAGAGATAAGAGAGATAGAACGCAAAGGGAGACAAATGTAGTGTAGGTGAAAGAATTCTGGCACCAGTAACTTCACAGTGTATGCATTACAAAAAAAAAAGATATTAAAACAGTTTGCTTTGTTCGACGATGCCTTTACAAATGATATACATCGATTATCTGATAATTAAGAAGTTTAGAAAACCCTGACCAACCTAAACTCTCAGATATTGTTCCAATATATTAATGTACCACTAGGAATATTGGAAAACATATTCAAAATTGAATTATTAACAACAGTGTTAAATTTGTAAGCAGATAACATGTCTCACATAGATGAAAAAGAATTTCGACATAAGGAGAAAAATTGGACTTTGAAATTGACAAACAAATTCTTAAATTATGTCTCTGTGATCATAACACAGCATATTTAAAATAGCTTTTAATTTGCATAATTGTGTTTGTTAATGGAAGGAAGACATGTTCTTTGACTATTTCTTCTAGACAGTTCAATTACAGTTTTTGCATATATACATACGCCATCCCTTATTACATTTCTTTGATATCAAATGTTAAAAGACAACAAAGACAGGGTGATTGTATTTGGGTTTTCCTTAATGAAAAAATATCCACGCAAGTGAAATAGCACCATACTAAATCAGTAGCAGAAAAAGTATTAAGGGGATTGAATGTCTCCATTCCTTTAGATTGAACAATACCTTCCTAAAATTTGCAAAACTAAAAAGTTACGACACTGTACAATGCAAAGTTATATAAAATGAAGTGCAAATTTCAAAGATAACTATAGGGTATATATATATATATATATATATATATATATATATATATATATATATATATATATATATATATATATATCGTACCTAGGGGATCAAGCTGCGCAACCATTGGTCTTGCCTTTTCAGGTCATCAATTTTTTTTATTTACTTAAAAAAGTTTCACACTGGTTACTACTTGGATTATCTGCAATCGTTTTAATTGCATAGTCCTAAATTAACCAAGGAATTTTTATGCCCCCGGATCGAAAGATCCCGGGGGTATATTGTTTTTGTCCTGTCTGTCTGTCTGTCTGTTTGTTTGTCTGTTTGTCTGTCTGTTGTCAACTTTAACCTTGCCCATAACTTTTGATTTGTTGGAGCTATGACTTTCATATTTCACATGTGTATTCCTTGTGACAAGACCTTTCTTTGGGTACCATCATATTTGACCTTTTGACCTTGGAGTTTGACCCACTTTTGCAAAATTTTATGAGACTTTAACCTTGGCCATAACTTCTGAACAGTTGGAGCTTGGGGTTTCAAACTTTACATGTGTATTCTTTGTGACAAGGCCTTCTTTTGGATACCAACCACTTTGACCTTTTGACCTTGGACTTTGACCTACTTTTGAAAAACTTTAACCTTGGCCATAACTTTTGAACAGTTGGTGCTTAGGGTTTCAAACTTCACATGTGTATTCCTTGTGACAAGACCTTCCTCTGGATATTAACCACTTTGACCCTTTTGACCTTGACCTAGGAGTTTGACTTACTTTTGAAAAACTTTAACCTTGGCCATAACTTTTGAATGGTTGGAGCTAGGGCTTTCATACTTCACATATGTAATCCTTGTGACAAGACCTTCCTTTGAATACCAACGACTTTGACCTTGACCTAGGAGTTTGACCTACTTTTGAAAAACTTTAACCTTGGCCATAACTTTCGAATGGTTGATGCTAGGGCTTTCATACTTCACATATGTAATCCTTGTGACAAGACCTTCCTTTGGATACCAACCACTTTGACCCTTTGACCTTGAACTAGGAGTTTGACCTACTTTTGAAAAACTTTAACCTTGGCCATAACTTTTGAATGGTTGGTGCTGGGGCTTTCATACTTCACATATGTAATCCTTGTGACGAGATCTTCCTTTGGATACCAACCACTTTGACCTTGACCTTGACGTTTGACTTTTATTTAAAAAACTTCAACCTTCACCATAACTTTTGAACAGTTGTATCTAGGTCTTTCAAATTCCACAGGTGTTTTCCTCGAGACAAGATCTTTCTTTGGGTATCAACATTTTTTATCTTTTGGCCTGGATTTTGACTTGCATTTGAGAAACTTTAACCTTCGACATAAGCTGCCATACGGGGGCATAGTGTTTCACAAACACATCTTGTAATTAGATTTCATTTGATTTAGAATAAATGTTCCTCAAGACATAAACAATTGTCTTTACATTAGAAATATGAAATATTTTATAAAAATGGTAATTTTTTCCTGTATTGCAAATACAAATTATGCAAATCATTATGTAAATTAATTCATATGAATAAAACGGCATTGATTTTTAAACAATAGCAAAGTTCAGAATACCTAACAGCTACCTAATCACTTTTCAGGAATCGATTAAAATTCTTGTATTTACTTGGACGCTTCAAGACAAATTAGCCATTGCTTACCGCAACACAACAGTTTATGATGCACACAATGTACAATATGACCAAACTCCAGGTTTTCTTTTTTTATTATATCCTACATGCTGTCACAGGCTACCTTTATTTCGCGGTATTTTGTTGCAAAATCGGAATGTGATGACAAAATAATCAAATTACGATTTGTTAAGAGAATATAATTCAAGTTCTTTGATCGAGTGCGCGACATTGTGTCAAAGGGAGTGTGTATTTTTCGGATATATCCCTATATTGAGGAAGTGTCGTACCCACAGAGAGATCTTCACATCTCAGATGTCTGATGAGATGGGGTGGAGTTACTATTCTCATTGTATGTAGTATTTGTATTACTGTTACTTGTTGTTTTTTTTTTATTAAAATCCTATTAAGTTTCCTCGGTTATGATTTCACTTGGAAAAGGTCAAGAGGTCAATCAATATTTTCTTGGCATTATAATATTTTACGAATAATGTCAAAAGCACTCCTATCATATTTTGTCTCAAGATTTTTATTATCACTTCTTAATGTTAATATATCTTTTTTCCCTATTATTTTTATTGCTAATGATATTTTTTGAATCATTGTATTTTGTAATTCCTGTGTTCTATTTTAATTTCAAAAAACTTAAACAAGATGAAACTCTGCAATTCATTTAACGGAACAGTGACTGAAATTTTATTGAAAGTTACTCTATATAGGAGTAATGATAATAGAGAAACTGATAAATGCTTATCAGGAAATGGTATTTCTATTGCGATAAATAACTTGTACAATTTTGATCCACTAGATAATTGCAGGCATTACTGGGCAATTGGTATCAGGAAGGTTTTGCAAAGACAAGAGAAAATACCAATACAAAGTTAAATAAAAGTTTTTAGTGAAAAGAAATTGGTTTTGATTTGCGGGCCGCTATTTTTTTTTTTTTAAAAAAAAGAGGAAAATACACGTGCACTCTTTGAGGGTTAAAGGTGTTTGAAATAATGAAACGTTTTGTCATAAAATACATAAACAATATGCAACGTTACGAAACAAGATTCTGTTTAAAAATAATTTAACCCTTCTCCAAAATAACAATTTGTTTTTATGATTCGACTGTTTTACGTTTAAGTAACAATTAGGATTATTTTGGTTCTTAATTATTTCTAGGCAAGGAATTTTTTCCTAAGAATAGTTAACGTTCTTCTAAGTATTATGACGTTGTTTTTCGACATGTTAGAGAAACCCCAACTTGCTCCTCAGGATGAAACTACAACATTCAATCAAATGAATGATCACTAAAAGGTCTAGAAAGGAAACAGAGCTCAAATTATGATTTTTTCAGAGAGTAGATTAAATAAAAATTTTAAAAAAATTAAAAAACAAAGGACTTTAGAATTGAGCATAAAAAATCCCAAATCATTTAGATTATGAAAAAATATTTCGCGATTTGGGGGAGGGGGGCAAGTAGAGCAATATCTTTTGATTTTATACATATAATGCATTTCAGCAGATTTATTTAATGTTTCAGTTATTCTTACTGATTGTAAGGATCTCTTTGAAGATGGTCACAATAATACAGGGTTGTACGACATTTATCCCCATGGTACCAGCTCCCCTCCTGTCAGAGTTTACTGTGATATGGAGACAATGGATGGGGGATGGACGGTATTTTGTGACTTATAAAGCATGACAATCGTTGTATGACATGTTAATTGGGATATTTGGTTTTTGTTATTCATTGGTTTTGAGGAGACATAAAACATTCATATTCTGAGTTTCTATTTTATACAGTTATCAAATAAATCTTTATCAGAATAATAACTAAAATGTACATATTTCCAAGGTAATCCAAAAGCGAGTGGATGGATCACTGAGCTTCGAGAGGACATGGTTAGAATATAAGAATGGCTTTGGTGAATCAGAACAGAATGTCTAGATCGGTAAATATAGTTCTTATCAACATTGGATCCTTGATTTCTTGCATATTTTGGAAATATTTTTGAAAACTATTTTAATAACAGGTAGTATCAAGCTTTAATTTTATATTTAAAGAATATATATAAAATATAACAATATGAGAGCAGAAAAAGAGAGGAGCAAGAAAAGGAGAAAAATCACAAAATGATAAGACCATTCACAATTTGTCTTCCACAATCAAGACAATTTCTTAAAATATATATTTAATTTTTAATCTTGATGTAAAGAAGAAATAGCTTTTAGAAAATCTTTATTTTGAAAAAAAATGCAATGCAATATGATAATCAATGATTGTGAATGTATTTCATACAGGAAATGACGCCATTCATCATTTAACAAAGGGAAAGAACTCATCCCTCTGTTTCCATCACACTAGTGAATGGTAGCAAACTATGAATTGTACGCTCATTTCTCAGTTTCCAACGAAGCAGCGTTATATAAACTCTTTTTGGTGGGACCTGCCACGGGGACTCTAGGTATGTGGCAGGTATTGAGTGTACTATACAAGGAAAAGAGAGAGAGAGAGAGAGGTGAAAAACGTCTGCACAGATAAAAGTAGGTTAAACTTATACTGGTTTTACTATGCACTGAAAATTAAATAAACTCTTGAGAAGAAATGAAGAATTCAAAATACTGACGTGGAGACCGGTCCTTCGGATGAGACCATATAAACCGAGGCCCCGTGTCGCAGTAGGTGCTGGCACGAAAAAGATCCCTCACTGCTCAATGGCCGTAAGTGCCGAGAATAGGTCATAATTTGTAGCCCTCCACTGGCAAGTGGTGGCGTCTTCATATGAGTGAAAAATTCTTGAGAGGGACGTTAAACAACAATCAACCAACATACCAACTAATGGCGGTTTCATTCGCTGCCTATAAACAAAATAGTAAGATATAGTTCCTTGGTTGCCAGGAACATATATATTCATTGGCTGCCTGTAAGATGTAGAAGTCGATTAAATCAAAATATTGTTTACATGATACTATAGGTCATGTTAATAGTTGTATCCAAGCCGGGTACATGTACCTACGTTCATTCCTACCGCTGGCATCTAAACAATCGAGGACTTATGGAGACCTTGGTTTTGATTAAAACGCTCCATAAATTTTGTTTGCAGTAACCATTTTTTTTCTCTAACACACCCTTCCTTTTTCTTTTCAGACTTGAAATATTTCAATTCTTTGTTTTAAATTTGGTTTGTAAATCCACTTATATATTTGCTTTATATTCTTATCCTGTTAAACGTCTTCTGATGATTGTTAAATGAGGTGGGACATGATGCAGGTATGTGCATTTTATTGCCTTGTTATTCTGTGGGTTTTGTGTAAGTGGGAATATTTTTAATACAAGATTGATGAAAATGATCCACACGGCACGGACCTATGTTTATATATTAATGAAAAGAAGGAAGATATGATCCAAAGTGCTCTGAACTAAATGCGTTATTTAATTTAATAGGTGAGAGGATGATAGATACTGGAAGTTCTAACGCTGACCTCTCTGGGATGAGCTTCACGACCCAAAACAGAGATAATGATAGAATGAGTAGAGGTAACTGTGCTAGGAGTTACAAAGGGGGCTGGTGGTTTAACAACTGCCACGATGCCTTTCTCAACGGTCAGTGGTCCCCGGGATACTTGGACAGACCTTGGACTCCAACTATTCAGAATGGGACATCAGTGAGGGAGACGGTGATGATGATCAGACGTCACTAGGTACGTTATTTATGATGAGACGTCACTAGGTACATCATTTATTTATTGATGAGACGTCACTGGGTACGTTATCTATTGACCAGACGTCACTAAGAACGCTACTTATTGATGAGATGTCACTAGGTACTTCATTTGTTAATCAAACGCCTCTAGGTATGTCATTTGTTCATCAAACGTCACTTTTTACGTCATGTTAAATCAGACGTCATAAGGTATGTTATTTATTTATAAAACGTCAATAGGTACGTCATTTATTGATTAGACGTCACCATGCACGCCATTGATTGATAAGACGTTACTAGGTACATCATTTATTCTGAATATGCAATATTTAAATAATTTCGCAAACATTTTTAAACATTATTGTATATTTTAAACATTATTTGATATATATTTCGGGAACGGTGAATTCAATACAAGTTCTGGAAATAATATATATTTTGTTTCATTTGTTTTACTCTATAGATGAAGATTGATAAGAGAAGCTACAGACTTGAAATGATGAAACGATTCTGAGAAGAAAATATTCATAAATGTTAATCAATATAATGATTTGTTTCTGACTTTGAATAAGTATTGTAAAATAGAATGGAATTGAATGTTTTAAATGTAAGTTGGGATATTTTAAAACTATAATAGTATGCGATGTTTGGTGAATTTGGATTTTTGATGTTAATCATTTTCAATTTTTTATATTAAATGCACCATGCAGATATGTAAATAAACTATATATATATATATATATTAAGAATTATTTGGTTTTCATTTCTAAATACTGCCAGGACGACTGCCTTGGTGGATAGTTAAAATAAGAATTTGGCGGATAGTTAAAATAAGAATTTGGCGGATAGTTAAAATAAGAATTTGGTAGATAGTTAAAATAAGAATTTGATGGATAGTTAAAATAAGAATTTGGTGGATAGTTAAAATGAGGATTTTGAAACGAAATATGAAGGTAGCGAGCAGTTATCATGCTCAAAAGTCCAAATCTAAAAATAAAACTGAGATCAAAGCCAATATGTACCTCTGAAAATAGAGGTAAGATGCTTTTGAGGAGAAAGTAATCTCAGTCGACCGGTCACACCCAACGTGTGCTCCTTGCTAAATCATAACGTTTTTCTGCAATATAGACTTGTAGATTCGGCACTTCTGGCCTTTGAGCAGTGAGATATATTTCTTGGTTTTTACGGTCTTATCCGAAAGACCCGTCTCCAGGTCCTGCACTGAGATTTGAACCCGCGATGTAAGGATTAACTCCTTACTTCGCGACTTTAGTGTAAACGCTCTACCACTGATCATGTAGGCGACTTTCCTGACTTGAACCTTGATGCCTTATATGGTTATTGAATGTGGAACAAAATTTACTTTCATAGACAAAGATATCCATCTGATATATTTCCTCTTATGTATCTCTTGATGTCAAATTTTGGTTACTCTTTGGAGCCCTATCCCTGTCCAAATTAAAATAAAATAAGTGTACAGTATATAAGGTCACTTCAAAGATTTCTAATTTGCCCATTATGAACCAATGATGATGCTGACTGTAGTAATTTATCCATTGCTGTTGGTAAACAGGCCTTGTCACTCTATACATGTAATGCAAATTAAAAAAGAATGAAGTTGCGCAAGAAGTTGCTTTTACATAAGTATTTCATATTGCCATTTGAAACTGAGTATTTAGAGAGGGCAGTATCCCTTTAAAATCTTATTCTAATTGTAGCTCCGTAGTTGGAAGGTCGTGGGGTATTTATAAATGTAGTAAGAATTGTGGGTTTAGATTTTGCTTGCAATATAATTTGATAAGACTACCCAAGGGAAGCAGAACCTTATGATACATGTACATCAATTCATGTTTGCGACTATACATATATGTATATGAACCGATAAAGTTGAGCAGAGCATTATCGTCAAAACATATCGCTGATATTTGTAGTTATTTTTTTTTAAATCTTTCTTCTTTTTGAAATATAAGAAAGAAAAATCCTTGAATATCAGTAATCATGTCAAAATCGCCTTATTTCCCTTTTAATTTTTTATAATAAGCGTTTATATACATATAAACTGCATTGCTTTTTTGAATAAAAACAAGTTTTCACAATTTATGACATTAAAAATAAATTTCAAAAACTATTGATGATTAAATGTAATATTCATTCTATAATAGTCTTCAGAAAGAGTCGGGAGGGACAACCATGGATTTTAATTTCGGGGAATCTTAAACATCTTACTTAAAATGTCCAACTTATGGATATATATGTGTCATCTGATAAATGAATTCTTACCAAATCAAGTAATTTGATATTTTTACTGATTTAAAATTAAAAGTATAATAAATAATTTTACTTATCATATTAAAACATTTTCAATTCTTTTTAACTCTAATTTAAAATGCAATTTTTTGTAAATAATAACAATAGAAATACACATTCCTTTTTGTTGTAATTATGTGAAAAACAGGGTTTTAATATGACCCCCTTTCAAATAAGGGAGGGCATATTGGTTTTCTGCTGTCGGTCGGTCGGTCTGCCGGTCAACCATCAGTTTCCGTTCATTTCTTCGCAGAGTTGCACATACTGAAATGATATTAAGTTTACAGAATTATCATAATAATATCTGGGTCACGTTCTGTTTTGGGTACGATCGAGCAGTTTTTGAGTAGAGATTGAGAGAGAAGGAGAGGGCAATAATTATTAGAAATGAATCATGCTTTATGTCAAATTAAGAAAAAAACTTTAGGTATTTTCTATTGAATGTTTAGTATACCGCCAGCAAAAAAAGTATGTAACCGTTGGGTTTTATTTTTCAAGAAATTTTCTTTGTTCCCCTTAGTTTATAACTGTTTTGATTTTTTTTTATTCAGCTAAAGTATAATAAAATTAATAATGGTCAATACAGTTGAACTTCGGTATCTCGGACACGGATATCTCGAATACCATGGATATATCGAAGTGATTTTAAGTCCCAAGCGCTTCTTTCTTAAGTATTTTACCCTGGATATCTCGAACTATTTTCTTGGTCCCATGATGTTCGAGATTACGAGATTTTACTGTATTTAATTTCATGCCGATATCTTTTTTAAATTTAATGATCTACCGAATTTTTTATACAAGATTCTTTTTTCCCTTTGTTTTTTTTTTTTTTTTTTTTTTTTTTTTTTTTTTTGTTGTTGTAAAGATTGTTATCTTCCAATATATTTTTGTATACGTTACATTCTGAGCAATAAAAACGTTTTCTTAATCTTCATAAAATCCCATGTTGTGTCATTAGTCTTAATAACCTATCAGTAAAGTATGGATGAAACATATCTGGGTATTTCATAGAAATAAATGAAAGACCAAGCTAGAGATATACAATATCTGAAAGGATAAGTTGTTACTAAAAACGCCGTTAACGCTGTGAACCATTCCTATTTGTTGACAGTTCGACTAGCGTAATTTTTATTTGTTTTCAGTCCAGTAAAATGAATACAACAACAACATATTAATAATAATAAGACTATTCAAACGTAACGATAATCATCCACATAATTCTTTTTATTTCTACAGGTGACAGAACGTTAGACACTGGTTATTCTTAATATTTTCTACAAATATGGCAGTTTTTATAACTTTGATCGGAATTTTCACTATGGCCGCAATAAACGCGTATAAAGAAAGTTAGATATGTTTTTCATATCGCTGTACCTTTTCGATTTACCAGCATCTCATGAATCACGTTTGCTGTGGCCAATGTTAAAAACTGAGTTTAAGCTATTTCGGATTTCAATTTTAGTAATTCAATACGAACTTATTTTCGAAGTTGACAACGTAATTGCTGTTAAAATGTGAAAAAGTGTATATATATTATTATTTGTGAAGTCTATTTATTATGCTAAACTTAACAATGAATTAGGTAGACAACATATTTTAGCCCTACAGGTGAAAATTACCCATAGTTCTGAAATAAAGTTCAAATGAGTATGATTAAGGAATGAATTAAAATTGTTCATAAGATCCCCCAAAAACATTTTTTTTAGAAAAAGAGAAAGATTATAAAAATACACAGAAAAGAAAATATGCCAATATTCTAGATTTTTCCAACACTTTTTTTCTTTTGCAAATGATTGTCATCTCTCTCGGGAGATGACACATTAAGTTTGAATCACCGGAAGTAAAGTCCTAGTGTAAGCTGCCATTGATAAGCTGGTGGTCTGGCAAAGGAACTGACGATGACACGATTTCTAAATATAGAGATCTAAACAAAATTGACCAAAGCCTGTCTATTATTATTAAACAAAATGGTGCATCTTAAAGTTAAAGTAAAACTACACCAGGGTTCATTAAGTATAATAGAGGTAGGATCACTTGGGTGGTGGTGGGTCTTCATTAACGGCTTATATATATATACATAAACTTTGTATGTAGACTATTGCGTAAAACGATTGTCAGCGCGAGGGGATCAAAATACACAAAACATGGCATATTGAATGTATAAACCAAGGCGTGGATCCAAGATTTACTGACGAAAGAAAACAGTGAAAACATTTAAATAACAACTCACATTAAATGCATATATACAATGGCAATTTTTTTACTTTTATGTGCACTTTAGTCAATCGATAATTACTGCCGTAGATATGAAAAATAAAACAGAACTTATTCAAAAAAGAAAATTTCGAAGAAAAGAAATTTTACCTATAAAAGCACAATTTAGGCAGAAACATAAATGTCTCTGATTTAAGTAACTCATTGCTGCAGTCATTTGAATAAAGATCATAAAGAATCATAATGAGTATTTTCTCGGAGTGTGCACTATATTCTCTTTAGGTCACCTGAGTCACTCAGGTGACCTATTGCTATCCGTTTTTGTCCGTCGTCGTGCGATGTGCGTTAATATTTTAACATTTTTAGCTTCTTCTCTGAAACCGCTCAACCAATTTCAACCAAATTTGGCATATAGCATCTATGGGTGAAGGGGAACAAAAATTGTGAATTTCATGGTCCCTGCCCCCCTGGGGCCTG